AGCTTATAAGTTTAATCAGGTCCCATTTGTTTATTTTTGCTTTTATTTCTATTGCCTTGGGAGACTGACCTAAGAAAACATTGCTATTATTAATGTCAGAGAATGTTTTGCCTGTGTTCTCTTCTGGGAGTTTTATGGTGTCCTGTCTTATATTTAAGTCTTTAAGCCATTTTGAGTTTATTTTTGTGTATGTTGTGAAGGAGTGTTGTAACTTTATTGATTTACGTAGGAGATTTTTGCAAGATCTACCTTGGGGCCAAATTTAAGGAGGCTTTTGAGAAGGCTATGGTGTTTGTAAATTTAAGAATTCTTCCAAGTTTGGTATTCTAAATAATATTCATTCTAAATATTTATTGAATTCCCATAGTGTATGAAGCCCTGAGCTTTCTGTTGTGGTGCTTAGAAGTGGTCCTTCTCTTCCCGGAGTTCTGCATTCATTATCTACATGATATGGGTCCAGGCAGGACATAAATCCAAATGTATATTGTAGTAGTTTCCTGAGGCTGTTGGAATAAATTACCACAAACTTAGTGGCTTACAACGGAAATTTATTTTCTCACAGTTCTGGCGGCTAAGTCTGAAATGCACACTCCCTCTGGAAGCTTTAGGGGAGAATCTGTACCTTGATTCTAAGTAGCTTCTGGTGGCTGACAGTATTCCTTGGCTTGTGGCCACATCACTCCAAACCCTGCCTCCGTCTTCACCTCCCTGTCTTCTGTGTGTGTGTTTTTCCTTTTCTGTCTATGAAATCTCCCTCTGCCTCTGTCTCTTAAAGACACTTGTGATGGCACCCAGATAATCCACTGTTATCTCTTCGTTGCAGTATGTTTAATCACATCTCCAAAGACATTTTTTCAAATACAGTAATATTAACAAGTTCCAGGCATTAAGGCTTGGTAACTTTGTGTGGCCGTTATTCAACCAACCACACTCATCTACCGCAGAAATTACAGGTAGCGATCTGAGCATCTCATCTCTCTCACTGCATGATCCTCAGCAGTACTCACCCCACAATATATATACCAGCTGTAAAGCCACTGTTGACCGAGAGCAGGCATGATGTGTTTATGTCTTCCACTTTCTTGAGCACTTCAGAACGGACTGTGCTAGTTGCTGGAGGGCGAGGTAAACAGAAAGCTCCGGGACAGCAGGGTGAGGGCTGTGGTTGGAGCAGAGCGCAGGGGCACTGAGAACAAATTCGAGGGGCTCCTAATCCAGTCACAGTTGAGCAGGGGAGGCCACCTGGAGGAGGTGAGGTCTCATGTGGTGCTGAGGGGTAAATAGGAGTTCACCAAGAAGCGGGGAAAGAGAGCTCCAGACAAAACCGCCTGTGCAAGTGCCTGGAGGTCTAGATAAGAGATTGGCAAAAGGGATAAAATGGGAATGGATATATCCCGAGGCTATGGAGAAGGCTGACCTGGCAGGGATCGGTGATTGATTGGCTGTGCAGGAGGATGCAGGAAGGAGGGTCCGGGTGGAATTCCTGTCTGCTCTGGGCAGCCAGGTTCATTCAGTGAGACAAAGGACACAGGAGGGAAGGACTGGAGACAAGATGATTCGTTTGGTTTGAGAGAGCTGTTTATTCCGTGAATCTGTTTCTCTCTGGCTGTCTCTCTCTCTCTCTCTCTCTCTCTCTCTCTCTCTCTCTCTCTCTCTTTTGTCAGTTAAAAACCACCCTGGCCAAGGATAGGGCGGTATCCTTTGCCAAGTGAGCAGTTTTCTTTGTCATTTACTCTCACATGCAAAACCGTGGAACACCGCCATGAAATGATTCATGTGTAAATTATTTGGAGTTAGAATCATGAATCACTTAACATAAATAATGGTAGATGACTGAATAATGCAAGTTCAGTGCAGTTCAAGACAAAAGTGATGTTCACATTGTATTTAGAAATATTTCCCTGGAAAATGTAACCTAGAGAGCATTTTTATATATTAGAAACAAAGATTACATACGGATTGCATAAGAAATAGGAAGATAACGTTTGTAAAGATTTTTGTGCATTGTTTTGTTTTGCTTCTGAAGATGGTTTACATTAAAAAGAGGATTGTTCCTTCAAAGACGTATTTACATGCATCATCAGAGGTTGGGAAACAAAGGCTAATAACTCCCACATCCCAGCAAAAACCTTCACTATGTGCATAGAATACTAGCCATTGTTGAGTAGCATACAGTAAGCTGAGATAATAAATAATGGTGGAGAAAATGTTGCAGTATTCACTTAATGTTTGAAATGTGACACTGCCCAGAGGCCCTGGGAGAAGTTCCACAATGCGTCTCAGAAGACTCTCTGTTGTGCCTTTTAATGAAAAAGATAACTTGGGGGAGGTGTGGTCTCCGTATGTGGTAGACTCCTTATTTTAGCTCCAATTTGAGAGAATTCTTGGGGTACTGGTGATGGGGATTATTTTACGTATGTCACTCTAAATTAGCATCACAGACCGAGCCCCTGAAGAGAGGTAAATTTATAGACTCTCCCAACCTGGGGGAAATGGGGAGGAGGGAGGAGAACTGACGTGATAGTTCCACTTAGCTTAAAAATCAAACACCCATTTTACTACCATGTCGTCTCGGCTTCACACAGAGTGAAATAAACTCATTTGGTTGCCTTTACATGTTCACAAAGGTACATCTGCCTCTGCTTGTTACTGTGATTAAGGACATGGTTGGCACAGATGAGCCAAAGGCTTCTAAACAGCTGTACAAATGTGGAGGGTTTGCTGCATCTTTCCTTTGTCTCTGTGGCCATGAGGAGTTGGCTGCACAGCTGCTTCCCTTGGGAGGGACCCGGGCTCTGTTGCTGCCTACTGCTGCTGCCCTGTGAGACTGGAACCACGTAGGGGGCCCTGTGGCCTCCCAGCTGTGGTTGACTAGGTTCTGAGAACCACTGTTCTTCCCTGTCTGCTGACTCCAAAGCCAGTCTAAATCTTCCCAGCCCTGCTCATTAATGGGCATAGATTCTCTTCTGTACAAAGCCTGGTGTGGTTCTGCCTTGACTCCCAAGTTGGTGTGAGACTACCTCTAGTTCCTGTCTTTTCAAGGAATTGAATAGTGTCAGCTTTGCAGCTGTCATTTTGAAAAATTACAACTTTGACTAAAGCCTCCCCCTTTGATAGGTGATATTGTACAGTACAAAAAATGTGGACTGGGGTGTCAGGACCCTAGGTGTGCACCCCGCCTCCAAGGACTGTTCTAAGGATAAGCGTTAAGACATTACACCAGTACCTTGCACAGCGACTGACAAATAGTGACTAGATTCCTAGATCATGTTGGTTCTTCTTTTCTTTCCCCCATGTTGGTTCAGCATTTGCACTGTCATTTTCCAACATTTACTGAGTGACTACCTGGACAAACACAGTGCATTCAATGCTAGAGAAACACCGCCCACCATGAGCAGCAGCCAGCAACAGATTTTCTCTGAATGTTGGTTATTCATCTGTTATAATTCATACTTCCACCTGTTGTCGAAAAGCATTTGAGATGGCTTTGAGTAAAAATACATGTATACATGGATGCATGAAGATGAGAGGAACCATAAATGGTATCCTGAACTAGAGATAATTATCCTACTACTGCAGCGGAACACTAAATTTAGTTGAAATTCATGAGAGCAAAGGAGGCAAAAGGGGCGGTAAGAGGGAAGTGCACACACACGCGCACACACACACACACACACACGAACATATAATATGAATATATGCATATATGTGTATTGAATATTTAGGTAGCAAATGATAGCCCTTATAAGGTAAATTTTGCTATATTTGAAAACCTAGAGTGTGTAATAGGGCAATTAGCAATTTTTACAGAGCATTTCCTAATTTCTAAACAATTTATTATTACAGTTAATGAGGATTAACAAATATGACATTGTTGAGAGATTTTAATGTCTCATAATAACATAGACCAATTGTTGCTCATGATTCATGGGTTGGTGTATTGAAAATAATAATGCCGTGAGTAAATGTTTTGCTACAGTGCTGATCTCAACTGCATTACTCACCAGGACTGATAATCAGGTGGTATTTTCAGAGAAGTGATGGTCCCCATGGTACTATATGTTTCCTGATTTCTGAAATACAAGATGATAAGGAACATCCATCTGGTGAATGATTTCATACCCAATCATAGAAGAAGAAAGTTTCTTTTTTATATGAATTTCAACATGAAATTCAAATTCATATTGGTAATAGTTTAAAAACTAAAAATGTTTGTAATGCTAGAAGTTGTATCCCATAAGCATGCCAAATTTCCTTACATGCCTAGTCTTTATTTCTGAGTGTATACTGAAAGGGAAAAGTGATTCCAGCTGAACTGCAAAGCACAGTGTGGCGTACACAAGTTTTCATAGCATCACAACCTCTTAAGGTGTTAGAAATAAAGAAGAGACAGGAAGGAGTGTGTTTTATGTGCCAGATAGCATGCCGAGCCTTTTGAGGGATGTATTTTTTTAAATAAATTTATTTATATATTTTATTTTTGGCTGTGTTGGGTCTCTGTTGCTGCGTGTGGGCTTTCTCTAGTTGCGGTGAGCGGGAGCTACTCTTCTTTGCGGTGTGCGGGCTTCTCATTATGGTGGCTTCTCTTGTTGCACAGCACGGGCCCTAGGCGCGTGAGCTTCAGTAGTTGTGGCACGCAGGCTCAGTAGTTGTGGCACGTGGGCTGAGGAGTTGTGGCGCACAGGCTTAGTTGCTCTGAGGCATGTGGGATCTTCCCGGGCCAGGGCTCAAACCTGTGTCCCCTGCATTGGCAGGTGGATTCCTAACCACTGCGCCACCAGGGAAGTTCTCGAGGGATGTATTGAAGAATGTCTTTCTGTTAGTTACAGTGAGGTGTCACGCTGACTTGTCCTGTCCCTAGGGACACCAGCTGGGCCAGGGTGTGGTTTGTCTCTGTTCCTTCAGTGTCAGATCTACAGCCTGTGTTGTCCTCCAGAACACAGGGATAGAGCAGAGGGTTCTGTAATTTCTGATCTACCTCTCTAAACCCTTTTTGACAGGAGCATCTGATTGAGAACGAAGTGTCGATACTGCGCAGAGTGAAACATCCAAATATCATCATGCTGGTTGAGGAGATGGAAACAGCTACTGAGCTTTTTCTGGTGATGGAATTGGTCAAAGTAAGAGGATGGAGAGATTTCAAGAGAATTCATTGATGACAAATCCCAAGACTTAACAATATTCTTGAAGGACCTAATTGGAAAAGTGTTTTGCTACCTTGAAACTTTCATTATTTATAATCATCAATTTTAGTGGCACTTGTGTCATTTTTTTCATCTACTCCAGGCTGATGAGCTTTCTTTGATACCTTCATAGAACTGCTACTGTTGATGTTTTGTTTTGTTTTTTTAAATATTTATTTATTTATTTGGTTGCATTGGGTCTTAGTTATGGCAGATGGGCTCCTTAGTTGCGACACGCAGGCGCCTTAGTTGTGGCATGCAAACTCTTAGTTGTGGCATGCATGTCGGATCTAGTTCCCGGACCAGGGATCGAACCTTGGCCTTCTGCATTGAGAGTGCAGAGTCTAAACCACCGTGCCACCAGGGAAGTCCCCACTGTCGATGTTTTGATATGTTCTTTTATGTGTCCTTTAGGGTGGAGATCTCTTTGATGCAATTACTTCTTCAACCAAGTACACTGAGAGAGATGGCAGTGCCATGGTGTACAACCTGGCCAACGCCCTCAGGTACCTCCATGCCCTCAGCATTGTGCACAGAGACATCAAGCCAGAGAACCTCTTGGTACGTCATCTCTGCCTTTTCTGTTCCAACTCAGGTCTCTCTCCCTTTAAAGTGACAGTAATTGCATGCAAACAATCATATGCAGACTATGACATTTTATTTTATTTATTTTAATTTTTTTTTTGCGGTACGCGGGCCTCTCACTGTTGTGGCCTCTCCCGTTGCGGAGCACAGGCTCCGGACCTGCAGGCTGAGCGGCCATGGCTCACGGGCCCAGCCACTCCGCGGCATGTGGGATCTTCCCGGACCGGGGCACGATCCCACGTCCCCTGCATCAGCAGGCGGACTCTCAACCACTGCACCACCAGGGAAGCCCCAATGACATTTTAAAGTCTATACCAACCCTGCAGATACGGGGCTGAGAGAGTTTAAATCTAGAAAATCAGCCTGACTCAAGTCAATGACCATAAAATGTTAATGGATTTCTCGAATTGATCTGCACTTCTGCATTTACTGTTTACCAGACATTAGAAAACATATTTTCATTTACGATTTGATGGATGGTGCTAACTGAAGAAAGGTGAGCAGGAAAATTATTTTATGAGGCAAAAAATTCTGAAGAATAAATTGGAGACAGAAACAGAATTAGAGGCTTGTAGGAGACAGCAGTAGAACACAAGCGTTCGTTTCTGTGCAGGACGGAACTTTGGAAATGATCTAGTCCATTCATTTCAGCTCTACAGATAGGAAAATTGAGACCCAGATATGCTAACTTTTCTTGTTTAAAAGTCTCATTTGTCCTGTTGTTCTACAGATGAAAGTCTTATTCTGATATGCACTCAGCTTCATAATCTGGTTCCAGTTTCCCTTTCCAGCCTCTTCTCCTGTTACTCTCTTCCCTACCCATCTGGCCAGCATGGCACTCACCTTCAAGCCATATGTAACTCACCTCATGGTGGCCTTCAAAGCAAACATTGCTAATGGGGACAGTCCTCGTGTCTACGTTGTAGAGAAATTTTAGAGAAGGCGATTTGGGAGTTCTGCACACACACGTCTCCCAAACGCACACAGGACTCTTGGCTTCTCTGTTTCCACCTTTCAGGGCTGAGCATCACCATCGTCATCGTTACTGCTTGGCAGGTGAGCCTATCTGAGTCTCCCATATCGTGTGCATCCAAGCACAGGTTTCCCCGGGTCCAGGAGTTGGTGAAGACTTGACTTCCTCAGCAGCATTACACCTCATTGTTGGTGTCCACACTGGTCTCTGTTTGCAGCATCCTCTCCCCCAGCAACGTGGCAAACACGTTCATCTTGTAAGATACTGAGCAAGGCCTGTCTCCTTTTTTTTTTTGCGGTACGCGGGCCTCTCACTGTTGTGGCCTCTCCCGTTGTGGAGCACAGGCTCCGGATGCGCAGGCTCAGCGGCCATGGCTCACGGGCCCAGCCGCTCCGTGGCATGTGGGATCCTCCCGGACCGGGGCACGAACCCGCATCCGCTGCATTGGCAGGCGGACTCTCAACCACTGCGCCACCAGGGAAGCCCGAGGCCTGTCTTCTTGATATCACCCCAGGCTCCCTGGGCAGAGTCAGTCATGGCCACCTCTGGTTTTTGCTGCACTTGACGTGGTGCAGTGATTTTATCGTTTACTTGTCTGTTGTCTTCTCTAGGTCGTAAGCACTAATGGGGCAAGGTCTGTGTTTCGGTTACTTTATATCCCCAGGGCCGAGGAAACACACAGTGGACGTGGGTAGACGGCTGGTGACTGACCACCATGGTCACCTAGGTCGCCAGCAGCTGGCCCTCAAACACAAGTCTCCACAGCCTGCCTCATACGCCCAGCATGCAAATAACAACTGAATGGACTAGGCTTTGGGGCCGTCCTGGGGCTTTCTGCTAATCCAGGGTATCCATTTTGCCTTTTGGTTAATACCATTTGATAACTTCCGAGTGTCCACTTAAAAAGTATGTGAGGTTTTTTTTCTTACTGTCTCCTGCCTTGAGGGAATATGTTTCATTTCTGTTTGTTCCTATTAGGAAAGTAAACACCCCTGCTCTGTAAAACAAGATGTGTTATGTGAACTCTAAGGAGGAATGGAGGCAGCGGTAAGCCAGGCCCCTGGGTGGACGTGAGGGTGTGGGGTTCCCTCCTCTCGACGGGCTGCTTCTGCACCTTGAGGCTGCGGTCTGGGCTGGCCCTGCCCCTCCCCCACTGACGGAGCTTGGCCGGGGGCAGAGGGGACAAGGCTTCCCCCCGCGGAGCCAGACACAGTGCCGAGGTGTTCACGAGGACGCCCCTGCTCTCCATGGCCCACGTCACCGCAGTGGCCGCTGTGATTGACGTTCTCTGAGAGCACGGGGCCCGAGGACCAGTGGTTACCACAGTGCCCACGCCGCTTGGCTCTGACTGCGGGGGCCCAGCCGGCGAGGAGGGTGGCGGAGGGGTGAGTGAGCTTCTCTGTAAACCCGAGGGTGCCTGTTTCCCAGCTCACTGATTCCGTTCTCACCCCATTTCCCCTCTTTTCCACTCACAGTTCCTTACTGTATGCAGAATCTCAGAAAACCGCCCCCATCCTCTTCTGCTGTTACGCATCAAGGGAAGATAGCAGTTGGAGACATCAGTCCCCGTTAGGATGAGTCTCAGAATGTAGGCAGGAGATTGGAATCGAGTGCCTCACCTGCCCCACCTGCCCCACCTGGATGAATGTCCGCCCCACTCCGAGACCCGCTCTAACCCCGCTGTGCTGCCCAAAGGGCAGAGAAGGGAGATGATAAAACTGATGTCGGGATGAGGCTAATGTGTGACGTGAAAGGGCCGTGGGGTCAGGCTTTGGAGACCCTTAGCTGCGCATATCCAAGTAGAATATGTGCCTGCCTTTGGAAACCTAACTGGACCCCTCGGCTGATCCTAGATAGAGTCAGCAGGTTGGCGTGAAAAAGTACCATCGAGGCACTAAAAGGAAATACGCAGAGGGACTGCCAACCTCTTGCTACTCTAAAAGAGAATTGGGTCTTTGAACACCAGAGCATTCAGACATCTGATTTGCATCCCCTCCTCTGGCAGCAGTGTCATAATTTAAACCCCTGCCAGCAGAGATGTATGGGTCACCGTGTCAGGGAGCACAGGGGTGGCCATTAATGCCGTGAGTTACAGCCTGGCGGTGCCCTGTCAGAGTTAACTGTGAGAGACCAGTGATAAATTCCACGTTTCCAGGAGTTCTGGGGGCAGGGGAGAGAAGAGGGTTGGTTTCTCATATTTGAAGTCCTGCTAAATCATGATGCTGACATTTTATTTAGAGAGCTTGTGGCATTCACTTTGTATGTGGGATCTGCATTTCTCACATATTTCAGTTTTGCATTCTGAGAGCAACTTTTGACAGCATCTCTCAGCTTGTGGTGGGCCCTTTGAGCACCGCAGGGCTGGAGTTCTCACAGTGGTGGCTGTTCAGATCTCACTGAGAGTCTGCAGGCCGTGCAGGCTTTTAGATGCAGGAGGGTGCGGTGGACGGCAGTGGTCTTGTTTGGAGCCCCCCCTTGGCTGCCTGCTCGTAACTTGAGTTTTCTGAGCCTCAGTTTCCTCATCTGTAAATTGGAACAAAAGTTCTCTTCCTAATTGTCCAGCAGGGTGACTATAGTAGTGCAGTGAGACAGCATTTAGGAAAATATTGGAATCTCTCAAGTCCTGCGAGGATGCGTGTTACTGGGGAGAACTGAACTCTCTGCCAGAACAGGAGGCCTTTGGAGTCCCTGTGCGTTTAGCCACCTCTTTCTTAAAACCAGTCTCTTAAAGCCACGTGTGTGTGTCCGTGTCAGTTTCTTAAAGCAATGTCATAAATTAAAAAAAAAAAAATTTGGCTGCATTGGGTTTTCGTTGCTGCACGTGGGCTTTCTCTAGTTGCGGCGAGCGGGGCTACTCTTTGTTGCGGTGCGCGGGCTCCAGGCACGCGGGCTTCAGTAGTTATGGCACACGGCCTCAGTAGTTGTGCTCGTGGGTTCTAGAGCACAGGCTCATTAGTTGTGGTGCATGGGCTTAGTTGCTCTGCAGCATGTGGGATCTTCCTGGACCAGGGATTGAACCCGTGTCCCCTCCGTTGGCAGGAGGATTCTTAACCACTGCACCACCAGGGAAGTCCCAGCGATGTCATAAATGTGTGTGTGTGTATGTGTAGATTTATAGATGTATATATATATATATATTTTTTTTTTCCTGCTTTGAAGAGAATCTCCAGCTAAGATTTGAAATTTACTTACATTCTCTTCCACATATTTGCCTTTGTGTCTAGCATTGGGGAGAGATGAATCAGATAAAATATTATTATTCCAGGCTTGTCTGGCCCTTATGACATTTCCCTTTTGATGTTTAGCCAAGGAGTACCACTTGCCCAAACATAATTCAACGATTATAGACTGTTCAGTCCCTTTCTATTTATACTCCTGCATCTGACTCTGAATTCCTTATAGGGGATGTGAAAAACGGGACTTCTGGGACTTCGGAGTATCTGACAACACTTAAATACCCCTAGGCATCCCTAAATTGAATCTCTAAAATAAACACTGTTTTTAAAAAATGTACCTAATGAGTGTATTTTAAAGTTGTAAAAACAAAATGACATTAACAAAACTTTTTTTTTACTCTCATGATAGAGACATTTAGAATTATAATGTTGGCTATAATGTTCTTATCACTGCAATTACTCAGGGAATTTCTAAAGTCTGGGTTTCAGTAAATGCATCATAAATTCTAACTGTAATTCAGATTGTTCTTGTTAATGTTTATATTAAACATAACGGATGGAAAGTCATCCTAAGACTAAGCATGACTAAGAACCTGGTTTCTGTTGCTTTAGGCTGAATCATTAGTAGCTTTTTTTTTTTTTTGTGGTACGCGGGCCTGCCACTGTTGTGGCCTCTCCCGTTGCGGAGCACAGGCTCCGGATGCGCAGGCTCAGTGGCCATGGCTCACGGGCCCAGCCGCTCCGCGGCACATGGGATCCTCCCAGACCGGGGCACGAACCCGTGTCCCCTGCATCGGCAGGTGGACTCTCAACCACTGCGCCACCAGGGAAGCCTCATTAGTAGCTTTGAATATGTTTCTGCTGAGTTGTGGGCTGACTCAGAATGATAACTATCTGTGAGGGACTCCAAATCCTCATCATTAGTCCTGTGAAACTTGTAAGTCATAAAGATGCGTGCTGCGCATGGGTATTTAGTACCTCAACATGGAAGCAGTTATTAAAATACTAAGGTGAAAAATACTCCTATTAAACTGCTGAGAACATCACAGGCTAGGAAGGTATTTCAGTGTCATCCTTAAAAAAATGCCTATTAAGGTGGTGGGGTCACTGGCATGAGGAAGGCCGGAGGTTCTTGATGTCTTTTTATTGAGGAGTTTATAAATCATCCCCCTCATTAAGTAGCAGACTAATGGATGATGTTGTAAACATGCTTATCTTGAAAAAACATAATTTGCTAAATTTTTCACTTCCTTTCGTAAGTAGTGGTTTAGATGAAAATCTGATTCAGTTCATGGTAGAATACAAGGAAACACAAACAAAATATGTTTAAAATGTAAAAGTAGAAGAAAGGTATGACGTGAGTACAGGTTAGGTTTTTGTAGTTATCCTCTGAAATTGAGTGTTTTCAGAATGGACGTCCAAGAGGCAAATGGACAGCTTGTTAAAGATCCCGCAGTCAAATCTCAGTTATGTTCTCACACACACTCATTTGCTTCTAAAACAATCCATTGAAAATGTAACTTCCGGACTTTTATCCCATAAGGAAAGTTTGCTTATATATAAAATTAATTTTTTCTGAATTATGGAACCAGCACATGTTCATTGTAAACATTTTGGAAACTACTGAAAAGTATAAAGAAGAAAATTAAAGTAACCTGTAATGCTACCACCTAGAGATAAACTTAACATTTTGGGGTGTTACAGCATATATATAATTTTGAATATTTAAAAAAATTTTATGTAATATAGTAAATATTTCCCATGATTAATATTTATTTGAAATGTGCTTATTAGTGACTGTATAATATTTCATTGTAGGGATTTACCATGATTTATTTTTTTTTGGTTATTTTTTTGTCTGGGTTTTTTTTTCAACATCTTTATTGGAGTTACCATGATTTATTAAGTCATTACCCTGTTGGCCATTTATGTTGCTTCCAGTTTTTAAAAACAGATGAATTCTGATATTGGCATTCTTGTGTATAACCTTTCGGTCCATCTCTGTTGTCTCAGAGCAGGTTCTTAGAAGTAGATTTACAGGATCAAAGGTTATGAAGGATATTAAGAAATTTACATATGGTTGCAGTGCTTTCTAGAAAAGTTGTTACATGTTCATCAGCATTGTTAAACCTTTTCCAAGATGATGATTTACCTGATCTAATCAGCCAGTCCTTCTAGGAAAGGAAGGAACATTCATTAAGTCCTGATCTGTACTTCATCTCATTTCATCCTCACACCAACCCCGTGAGCCAAGGACCCCTGTCCTCCCATTTCACAGATGAAGAATCCTGCCCAGGGCGAGTGAGAGACTTTCAAAGGTCACATCACCGGAAAATGGGTGGAGTGGTTGGTTATGCAAGCTCAGGCTGTCTGATCCCCAAAGTCATTTTCTTTCTGAATTTCTAGGGTTCTCCCCTATGTAATATTTATATTCATCATTGTCTAGAGAACAAGTTCTCATTTTATTTTCTAAACTAAACATGCAAGTTGGAGACCACCTAGCGCTTCAGTGGACACTTCCTAAACATTTCTGAGGCTCTCACATACCCCCCCCCTCCCAGCACTCAGGAAACACACACAGAAGTTCTAGAGGGCTCTCGAGCCAACCAGGTAAGCAGCCACCCACACCCCTCAGCATGCAGACATGTTCATTATACTCCTAGGTAAGGAACTTTTTGCAAAGGTAGAAATATTGTCTTTTTCCTATTTCACACAATCATGCAAAATCTCTAAAAAGAAAAATTAGAGCTTTAAGAAGCAACAAAGATAAACCATGCCGTTAATATCACAAGGAGAGATTTCTTTTGATTTGTTAGTAAATGTATCTGTGTCCTTTCTGCCTAATTCCAAAGGCCCCCCTTGCAATCACTGAGAAAAAAAAAAAAAAAAAAGACTTCTGATCATTGGCTGGTTTCTGTTCCAGGTGTGTGAATATCCTGATGGGACCAAGTCTTTGAAACTGGGAGACTTCGGGCTGGCCACTGTGGTAGAAGGCCCTTTATACACAGTCTGTGGCACCCCAACTTATGTGGCCCCAGAAATCATTGCTGAAACCGGGTACGCCTCCTGGGGGTTGGGGTTAGTGCTTTAACTTTGGGAAAGGGTATATTTTGCTGCTGCTGCTGCTGTGTATTCACATGCCTCTTGGGAATGTGGAGGGCAGGAGAGACTGTTACCTGCACCATGATTTTGATCCCAGGACCTTGAGTTTGTGCTTCTAGTTCCAAGAGCCCTAGGCCTGGACTTCTGTCCCAAGGCCAGTCTTGGAGTCCCCAAGATGGTGGTGAGGTTGGGAGAAGAGCAGACACCTTTTGTCCAAAGGGTAATTCATTCCTCTACATGAAATGAGCAGTTTGGTACCGAAAGGCCTTTTTTCCCTAACAAACAAAGGCAAGTACTCCAGTAATGTGCAGGGTTCCTGGGAGTAGTATCACTGTTTCTCTCCTCGCACCCACTTTGTTTCCCCAGCTATGGCCTGAAGGTGGACATTTGGGCAGCTGGCGTGATCACGTACATACTGCTCTGTGGATTCCCACCCTTCCGAAGGTCAGTGGCTCTTTGAATGACAATATTTGAATTGTAAGCCCTCTCCCTTTGATCAGGAAGCAGACATTCTACAATCAGGACCAGAAACTGCTCAATAAAAATGTCAGTTAAAAATTACACAAACATACCTTTCACTTTTTTATCTTAATTTACAACCTATTAATGTATATTCCTTGTCCACACTTTTGATGTGAGGCCAAGGCCTTTGCTTTGTGTTTGGTCCCCTGAGTTTCCTGCGGTTATTCTTCCGTAAAACACACCCATAGTCCAGTGTCTATGATTTCCATTCTCAGTCTTTTTCAAGAGGAATAGATTTAAAGGTCCTTGTGAAGCAATCTGATCCTTCCAGGTAAGCCTTTTTCTAGTTCTTAAGAGTTGTCTCTTCGACAGCAGTTTTTTGGTTTTTTTTTTTTTTTTTTAATAAATTTATTTATTATTGGCTGTGTTGGGTCTTTGTTGCTGTGCACATGCTTTCTCTAGTTGTTGAGGGCGGGGGCTACTTTTTGTTGCCATGAGCGGGTTTCTCACTGAGGTGGTTTCTCTTGTTGCGGAGCATGGGCTCTAGGAGCATTGGCTCAGTAGTTGTGGCTCGTGGGCTGTAGAGCGCAGGCTCAGTAGTTGCGGCACACAGGCTTATTTGCTCCGTGGCGTGTAGGATCTTCCTGGACCAGGGCTCGAACCCGTTTCCCCTGCACTGGCAGGCGGATTCTTAACCACTGTGCAACCAGGGAAGCCCCCTCAACAGCAGGTTTTTTTTTTTGGCGGTTCTCGGGCCTCTCACTGCTGTGGCCTCTCCCGTTGAGGAGCACAGGCTCCGGACGCGCAGGCTCAGCGGCCATGGCTCACGGGCCCAGCCGCTCTGCGGCATGTGGGATCTTCCCGGACTGGGGCACAAACCCGTGTCCCCTGCATCGGCAGGCGGACTCTCAACCACTGCGCCACCAGGGAAGCCCTCAACAGCAGTTTTTAAACAACTCACTTTGCAAAGCATTCGACCTAGTTCTTGTAGAAACAGGGAATTCTTTCTTTTTAAGTTTATTTTGTCCGTTCACATAATATTAAGTAGAATTACAAATACTTTTGGCATAAACAGAACTGGGAACAGCAGATTGACCCTTGGTGACCCTGCACCTCGCCTGGTGGCCACACATGGTGTTGGGGTGTGTGCTGGGGTCCACAGAGCGCACTTGCACCCAGCAGTCCATGACTAGGGGGCGTGTGGGGCTTTGACACAGCATCTCTTTTGATCAGTTCTGTCTCCCTCTTTGGGGCAAATGAACACTTTGAAGCAGAAGTTCATCTAATGGTGCATGTTTGATTTTCCTCTGAGTTTTCTTGAATGCTCTTTTCCTTTTAATCCCTTCTTTGTTCATTTTACAACTCTTTGTAGAGTAGCTCCTGGGGGCCAGGTACTATTCTAAGTGCTGGGAATCGAGTGGTGAACAAAACATATTCTCTGTTTTAGCGTTTACATTGTAGTAAACATTGTAGTATTACATTGTAGTACATTGTACATTGTACATTGTACATTGTAGTATTACATTGTAGTATTCGGTCAGTAAGTGAAAAATAAGTTGATTCCATTACACCCCCCCACCCCGCATTTTATTGTGAAAGCTTTCAAACATACAGAAAAGTTGAAAGGTTTCTCTTTTTTAAATGATCGATTTTTAATTGAGTTGAACAGGTTTTTTTTTTTTTGCTGACACTAAACACAAGAATGACAGAGATGTCAGTCTCTACTTGTGAGAGCCTTCTGGTGTAGATACGTCACGAGAATATTGATCAAGTAGAATAACTGAGCATATGAGGTCATGCTAAGTTGGGGGCATGCTGAGTTGAGGGCTAGAAATCACAAAAGGTTTCGTGAAAGATATGACATTTGCGTGGGACCTTGTCCTTGTGGCCTGGGTTACGTTTCTATAGGTGGAAAGTTCTTTCCATCTGGCCATCAACATCATGGTTTTCCATCAAGATCATTGCTCAGGTGGGTTATACAGACTGTAGGATTACTGGACGTATCAGTTTTTGCTGAATAACAAACTCCCCCTAAAGGCAGGGGTGTAAATCATTCTGTGAGTCCATTGAGCAGTTCTTCTGCTCTGGGCTGGCTCAGTGGGGGCGTGAGGTCCAGTGTAGCCTCACTCATATGCCTGGTAGTTGGCTCAGTGTCAGCTGGGAAACAGATATGACTTGGCCATGTGCCTTTCAGCATCTGGCGGGCTACCATGGGCTTCACATGATGGTGGATACAGAATATCCCAAAGCAGCCAGAGCGCTTTCCAAGTCTCTGCTTGCCACACATTTCTTCATTGATGTCCCGTTGACCAAACGAAATCAAATAGCTAAGCCTGGGGTAAATGTGGGAGAAGGTTAAGTGTGTACACAGAGGGAGGGGGATCATTCGTGGCTATTTTTACAGTCACACTGTGCCCTGGCTGGTTTCAGTGATGACTTGTTTTGGGAACTAGTCAAGTGCAGAGGGTAGTGGGTTTATTTATTTTTTTTGGCGGTACGCAGGCCTCTCACTGCTGTGGCCTCTCCCGTTGTGGAGCACAGGCTCCGGACGCACAGGCCCAGTGGCCATGGCTCATGGACCCAGCCACTCCGCGGCATGTGGGATCTTCCCGGACCGGGGCACGAACCCGCGTCCCCTGCATCGGCAGGTGGACTCTCAACCACTGTGCCACCAGGGAAGCCCCTAGGGTAGTGGGTTTTGATAGCAAGTAATTCTAGGACCATTTACAGTAGCGTTTCCCTCCTTGGTTAACCCAAGTTAAGAGCAGTTGGAAAAGGGTATCAGGGATCAGTTGTAGAGGAATGTGTGCTCACAACTCCCTCTAGTGTTGCCACTTGCCAGCGCAGCCTGGGAGTTTTTTCTTTGACTTTGCTTTTTACTTTTTAACAGAAGTGAGACTCAGATTGAACAATATGTATCTATTGTGACTTGTTATCCAATGGACAGCAGCTTCTTTGCGGGATCTTGAGATAAGTCCGGCTAATCAAAAGCAGTAAAACTACATTCTGAAAGCTGCTGCCTTAGATGTTATATTCAGAAGTTGGTCCTACAACTCTAGATAGCTTACTTCTGAAAATGTTTTCCCTCTTTCATACCATGTACCATGTTGTGATGAAAGAGAATCTGTTATGTTAAATACTAGTTACAGAAACATCTTCACAGCGTACAGAGACATTCTGGATAGATTTTATAACCTTCTATAATATAAAATATATTTATGTTTATATATTTTATATATCATATATATATAGCAAATTATGGAAATGGTCCTTTAAAGAATGATAAATGACTATGGTATAAGACAGATTATCTACTTAAATTTGTACCTAAAATAAAGGCCTTCAAACAGATATCTCAAAATATTTGTTTTCTACAAAAGATTATTTTCATCCAAAGCTTTTTAATTAAAATTGTTCCTTGGAATTGACAGTTTCAGCTTCTTTCACTGTAGCATCTCTCATTCTTCTTTTAGGGTTTTTGGGCTTTAGTCTTGGGCTGACATATATTTTCCCTCCAGTCTTTTCAACACCAGATTCATTGCTACTGAGAAGGATGTTGGTTTTTCAGAGGCAACTAGAAGTTTTGTTATTGCTTAAGCAAGTCTGTTCTTAGGGCCACTGACAAGTAATACTTGCCTGACTATGCTGAGGTATTTGATGTTTCTTTTAAAGACAAACACATACATACGCCCCTTGAAGTCAAGATGTTTGCACATCATTTGTGAAATAGCTTACAACATTTTTTCAGGTTACCTCGTTCGACCTTTAATGACTTGGCATTGGAAAGAGTAGTACACAGACTCTTTTGCTGTTTTCAAAGTTTTTCTTAATGGGCATTTTCATACTTACAGCACTGTACTATTTAAGAATTAAAAAGTGCCTGAAGCATCTCAGCCAGATTGTACAGTATAAATGTTTTAATCCAGGGAAGATTTAATCAGAGAGGCTTTTATTATGTGACTACTAAGAAGGATAAATTCTCTTCAGCTCTGCTCTCGTGAGAGCAGCCCGGAATTCCCAAAGCTCTTGCAGTTCACAGCACGGGTCCTGAGGGTGCCATTCTAATTGCCAGGATCCTGGGGTTTTGTTGTTGACTTAGGCTGTTTTGCCAAGGACCTAAGTCCTGCAGACACACCCCCAATGTTTTAGCTGTTTGTTAACAAAAGCCATAGATATTAAAAGAACATAAGCTAGTCGAGATTCCAGAAAAATACCAAAAAGGAGATGAGTGCAGTCATAGACAAGAATGGCTTAAAAAGAACAAATTCTGGAAATGGCTAACTTTTTTCTGTCTCCTTCTAACATTGTCTCCTGGGGTCCTCCAATTTTCTGAAGATTTCTGTAAAATCCCATTGTGTTCTTAGATGCATCCTTTACTCATTTTGAAGGAGAGTTGAGCTGAATTAAATCAGTGGAGAAGTAACCGTGAAAAGGAAAGAAAATACTTAGACACCTAGAAAGAGTCTGTGCTCACTCCAAGAATATCACTTTTTAGGAGAGCGAGGTGGGTGGGGGCATCTTTTGCCTCGTCCGGTGATCTGGCCTGACTTGTGCTCCTCCGTGTGCTGCCTAACCCAGACGTCATGGACCAGCATTGTCGATTCCGCTGGGCTTGGTTAGAGGTCATGAATGTTCACCGGCCCACGAACTCTACTCTTTTTTCCTAGAACAGGAACGAGGCAGCCACCTCATCACACAGCCCCCAAATTTGTCACTGGACACTCCCCGGAGCGATGTATTTCTAGGGACACCACACTTGCCCTTGCAGACCCTGGAGGGCTGGTAGCATGAGCAGCCTCCTGTCCAGAAGGCTGGGCAGGGCCCCACGTGAGCACCCTGAGCAGTAAGTAGGCTGCAGGGAGCCTGTCGGGAGCTCCGGGAGGAATGCTGCACCCTTGCCGCGTGAGACGGAACTTCGCTCCTGGATTTTGATCTTGACGCCAGCAGTGCATCCTGAGTTTTCTCCTAGGGCTTTGTGATGGCCTAGAAAGCCAATGACTGTGTTCTCCCTCGGGCCATTGATGTGCCTACCAAGGGAAGGGGCTCTGTGGCCGTGGAGATGCAGTTTTCTGGGAGGTAGGGGATGCCCAGCTTCCTGAATTTTTCCCAGCAGTGTTTCCATGGCGCCATCCATAAAAAGTCATCGTTTATCCTGTAGGCACCAGCTGTGTGTGCAGGTGCACCTTGGGGGGCGGGCAGGTAGGCACAGGGTGGCGAGGTGGGTTTGCCTCAACCGTGCAGTTCTAGTCGATGTCCTTGGATGGGCTCTTTGTCTCGGACTGAGCTTCAATGAAAGGCAAGTTCCAAAGCGGGGAGCACATTGTGTCATGAATGTTTATCCAGATTCTGAACTCCTTGTGATGTTTTCATATGTTGGCTGCTTCACTGATCTTTGGCTGTTTTCTTGGAAGAGTAGAAAGAGGAAGGACAAGGAGATCTGACTCAAATGTGCTGCTTTTCCCCTCTTACTACCACGAGAGACTGAGGGCAGGTGCTGAGCTTGTTTTTTTGCTGAAATGAGAATTTACATCATTTGTGGATGCCATTTTTTTCTTGAGTCTTTTTTTATCGTGGAAAAATATATGTAACATAAAATTTATCATTTAAACCATTTTTAAGTGTATAGTTTTAAGGGTTAGGTGGTATTAAGTACATTTACAATGTTGTACAACCATCACTACCGTCCATCTCTGGAACATCGTCGTCTTTCCACGTTGAAACCCTGTACCCACTGAACAGAGTTCTTGCATCTTTGTCTCTTCTCTCTCCCCGCTCCCTCTCTTCCCCCTCTCTCCCTCCCCCCTCTCCCCCTCTCCCCCTCTCCCTCATCCTCTTTCCCTCCCCCCTCCCTCCGCCCCCCCATCTCTCCCCATCTCTCCCCACCTCTCCCCCCCGACACACACACCTCCCTCTTTCTCTGTGATTCCCAGGCCGGAAATGTTCTTCGGTTCTTTGTCTAAAAGGGAGAGAGTCATCCCAAATGCAGTTGAGATCCACAGCTGAGCTATGAAATGCCCAAGCCAGAGAGACTGGACTCCTCCCCGCCCTTCCCATGAGCATTTTGTTAAAAACTGTATGGTGATTCTGACTCTTTCTCTGTTTCTCCATCACTGACTTAGTGAGAACAATCTCCAGGAAGATCTCTTCGACCAGATCTTGGCTGGGAAGCTAGAGTTTCCGGCCCCCTACTGGGACAACATCACAGACTCAGCCAAGGTACCCATCCAGGCCCGTTTCTAGGGGTTGCGTCGTGTTGAGGGTCCTCACCCATTGTGTGGGGCTGTAGCAGCTCTTGGTGTTGAGCTCCGTGTCTGTCTTGACTTTTTTTTTCTTTTTTCTTTTTTTTTGCGGTACGCGGGCCTCTCACTGTTGTGGCCTCTCCCGTTGCGGAGTGCAGGCTCAGCAGCCATGGCTCACGGGTCCAGCCGCTCCGCGGCATGTGGGATCTTCCCGGACTGGGGCACGAACCCGTGTCCCCTGCATCCGCAGGCGGACTCTCAACCACTGCGCCACCAGGGAAGCCCCTGTCTTGACTTTTAATGTGTGGTTCTTCATTAAGTTCCTTCCTCAGTGTGGTCTCTGAAATGCTTAACCAAATTCTGAAAGCTGGACTGGCTGTCGTCCCAGTTTGCTGCTACCGTCCTCCTGTGCTCCTCTAAGCCCTAAACGTTTGTTCTTTCATTTATTCAAGAAATGTGTTACGGACACCCGTCAGATTGTAGGGGTGGATTTGTGAGACCTGCTGAATTGCCAAAAGGAGCAGCACTGCAGTTCTGCGCTGTGGAATGATGACAATGGCCGGAACTCTTAGGAGAGAACATCTTGGGTTTAATGTAGATTTGGGAGAGACCTCTTCCTCTCTCAGTGCCGCTGACACGAGGCAGCTGTGTCTGCGTAATTGCCTCCTAGGCACGGGCAGTGGAGGTGATAATAGCTTTTGCATTCAAACGGCTGAGCAGCTGTGTTGGCTGTTCTTTGAAGTACTTGGTGCAAACTCAAGATTTCTGTGTTGATGCTGGAATTACCCCCTGTCGCCTGCTCTATCACCTTTATTTCTTTCCAGGAATTAATCAGTCAAATGCTTCAGGTAAACGTTGAAGCGCGGTGCACTGCGGGACAGATCCTGAGTCACCCCTGGGTATCAGTAAGTACCCCACGTCCCCGGGGAACCAACATCTCTGTGTCCTGTGGCCAACAGCGTGCTTCCTCGCCAGGGCTTTTGCGCAGGCAAAGTTCTGCATCCAAGTTCCGTGGAGGATTAAATGTCTGTTTTCTCTAATGAGCAAGTAGCATGAAGTCACTTCTCTGGGAGAAAGCGGTTGGCACCAGGATCCCGCTCTGTGAGTGACCTGGCACGTCACTGTCCCTTCCTGGGCCTCAGTTTCCTTATCTGTGAGAAGGGTTTGGCCAGGATGCTCTCTAAGGAGCTTTTTCTGTCATCCTGGGGTTTGAGAGTTTTTAGGATTTGCCCAGAGATGAGCCTGTGTCAAACCCTGGTCTCTGTCTTCATGGCACGTGGTCCCAGGAGCACTCCTGCTGCAGGCGGCCTGGCCGGGACGCGGTCCTGCCAGAGACAGGCAGAGGATGTGTGACGTTGCCTGGAATTTCTCTGAGCTTGGGCGGTGGCTCTGGGCTCGTGGTAAACACGATCCACGAAATGGCAACAGCAGGAGAGGCTGTGTCCCCCTCAGTCCTGGAGGCTTCGGGACAGTGACGTTAATTCAGGGGCTTTTGCTGACTTCGGCTCCCCAGGCACCTCTGCCACCCACTGTCCCACACGTCCCGACCTTTCCATTCAAACTCTCTGGGTCCTGCTAAGTGCCTTGGCTCTTGGGCCAAGTAGCTGACATGCCGTATTTTTTAAATGAACGATCAGGACTAACAGCTACCTGCATTCTTGATTAAAATGATAAACTGTTCATGAATGTTGATGTTTCCGTGGGAGGGCTCTATACTGAATTAGGTGGCATTTGTGCTGCGGGGGGAGGGTCTCAGAACCCTGTAGAATGTCCTTGTGCCACTGGGACCTCTGCCCTCTCCTCGGCCCCCTTCAGACCTAAGGAGGGAGGTGAATGGCAGAGGGTCTTTCCGAGGGCAGGGGACTGGTGAATAATGGTAATCATTTCTAATTACTTCACTTAGATTGTTCCCCCGACCTTGTGGCTCAGATGGGCCCATTTAGGAGGAGATGGTGGTGGTGACGGCTGGTGTGTGACTGCTGAGGAAGAGACAACATAGACGTGAGAATCAAAGGCAGTGTATTTGATTCTTTCCTGTAGGACGATGCCTCCCAGGAGAATAATATGCAGGCTGAAGTAACAGGTAAACTCAAACAGCACTTTAATAACGCGCTCCCCAAACAGAACAGCACCACCACCGGGGTCTCCATTATCATGGTAAGTAGAACGGGTGGTTCTGCCCTTGGGCAGCTGCAGCGTCTGGCTCACTGCTCGTCGACATCTTATCAAGTCAGCCGCCAGGCGCTTCCCTCACGCGGCCGTGGGCGCTGTCGTGTTCCTCTCCACTTCAGGAATGGCTTGGCACGTGAAGGGCACCCTTTGGCCGGCTCCCAGGCCTTGGGTCCTGGGATCAGAGGTTGCGCAGGTCCCAGCAAGGCCAGGCTGATGGGCCCCTGGCCGGGGCATCCCAGCCTCTTCTCCTGGGCTTGGTGGCCTCCAGGCAGCTGCTTCTGTCTCATCCCTGCTTTCCCGTCTAGACAGCGGTTCCCAAGCCCAGGTGGCCCTTACAGCAAAAGGAGGTGACTCCCTGACTACTCAAGGCCTCAGAAGTAGATTATTTGAGCTTTGAATGATTCTTTGGAACTTGGGATAAGAAACAGCCAGAGTTAAGCCAATTCCATTTTAAAAAGTCAGTGTTTTGTGTTTTTTAAAAGTTCAGAAGAATGAAAAAAATGTATTAGTTTTTTCAGGGTTGGTGAAATTGTACGAGAAGTCAGTAACAGTGATCCCCATATTTTTTCAAATCTTCCTTCTTCCAAAATGTTTTTAAAAAGGCAGCTTACCTGAATCCACAAACATAGATGAAAAGTGGCATTAAAATAAGTGAAGCAGCATGAAAGTAAGTTCAGCAAATGGGAGAAGAAGGCAGAAAAAATAAAACTGAGCCAGAAGCGTGGCGCGCACCCTCCCACCAGCTGTCCAGACCCAAGTCCTCGCCCAAGTGGGGCCGTGAAACTGGCCCCAGGCGTGTCCGCACCTGCTCCGGTGCCGTGTGTAGAGCACGGATCCTCGGCGTGATCTCCGTCCCGCGCACAGGATCAGGGAGCCGCGGCCGGGAGTCTGGCTTTCTCCGGAGGCGGGGGCCTGAGCTGGGTCTTGGCCACCCCAGTACTGCGGGGATCTGTGGAGCCTGACAGCTCCGTCACCCTTACCTCAGGACAGGCCCTCACCCTCTGGAAAGGCTCGATGTCCTAGCGACTGGGAGGAAAACAGTTGCTTATTCTCAGGGCGCACCGTAGCCTCGGAAGCTTCCCAGCGAGGTCGCGGGTCCAGACAGAGGCAGAGAGAAGCCCCGCCCCCTCGTGAGTGCGGGAGGCGGGCTGCTCCTGGAGCCTCCACCACCGTCCTGGCACCGCCGCACCGTCCTCCTCCCCCTGGGTGGGTGGCTGCGCTCCCCGCTCCAGCCCCCAGGCCAGGCTTGCAGGCTGATGTGCTGCCGGACTCGCGAGTGGGGGTGATGATGGACTCCGGGCCGAAAGAGCGGGAAGGCCTCTTGAGCTGTGGTTTTCCTGGCGTCTCAGCAGTGTTCTGCAGAGAGCCTGAGAAAGTCAGAGTTGTCACGGAGTGTCAGCTTAAACCCTTTGCAAAGAACCATCTTGACTGAGCATGAGAAAGTTCTCAGGCGGTTCACCCTTGAGAGCAAGGCTGCCGGCTGGGGTAAGGGGTCACCGCCCTGCCTCCGGCTGCGTTGTTAGGCAGCTTCTGGGGAAATTTACAAAAATTTAAAATTTAAAAAATTTAAAATTTAAAAATGCGCCCAGGGCTTATGGCAGCTCCCCCGTCATTCCCTGGGTCACCCGTCAACTCACGGCCCAGATGGGAATGGATGGCCCAAGGCCTGTGGCCCACCAAGGTTCTGGAATGATCAGCCCTTCTGCCTTTTGGCCCAGTATAGGCTCTGTTCTGGTTAAGGACGTTTAGGTTCTCTCAGACAGAAACTACATCTCACGGTTTACAAATGGCATTTTTCCATTTGCTGATGGATTTCAACTGTTAAATTTCAAACTCCTGAGCTTTAACCGGATGTTTGTGTGAATGAACAATGCTTTATTGTGATTCCAGCGGTGATTGTGAAAGTTGTGTGTTCCCGTGTGTGTTCAGTGTCATCTTGGGCATGTTGGTAGGGTTCCATCTAACCCCGCATTCCGTACACAACTCCACAGCTCGTTAGCTCTGGAGGTGCTGACGACGTCATCACGCTCACTGTCTACGGGGGAATCTGTAGAGCCTGCCTCTGGGGGTACCAGTTCTCCATGGCCAAAAAGCTGGCCTGTGAATTCTGGCTTGTCCCCCAGAGCAGCGGTGAGCAGGCCTCCGCAGGGATGTCATGCTTATCCTTCCCCGACCGAGGACCTGGCGTGGTTGCGTCCGGGCAGCTTGCAAGGCTTCTGTGTCGTCTGCCTCGCTCTCCTCACCAGTACTGTGCGTCTTTGTGTCCTGCCCTTGGGAACAGTTTCAAATGCTTTCTTAAAAATCATTATTCACAAATGAGTCTCCCTGGTATTTATATGTTCTCATAACTGGGGTATGTGAGGCTCATGTGGTTTCCTACAGATACAAATAGCAGTGGAAACAGGGCATAAATGTTCTGAGGCGGAGCCCTCAGGAACGGCTGTGTCGCTCCCAGACGGAACCTTGCTCTCCGCTGCCACCCCTAGTGTTCTCTCTGCCTTGGTCCCCCACGCCCCCCAAAGGATTGGAGCCTGAGGCTCTGGTGAGAAAATGATAGGGTAGGAATGGTAAATGACGGTGCAAGAAAGTCAAGTTGATGCTGTTGTCTGCATTTTGTTTGACAGTTTGATTTGACAGTTTGAGAGACACTTCAGAGTTTCACTCTGTACCCCGTTGAGACTCTGGGGACCCCGGAGCAGAATTCTGGTATTCAACATGCTATGCTTCATCAGAGCCGCCTCTAATTGTCACCCCTCTTAAATCTGCATGCTTCTCTTGGACTTTGACACCAGCATCCAGCTCTCAGCTCCTCATGGGTGCAGGTCTCCTGTACCTACTGACACCCGTTTCAGCCAAACGCAGCCTTGGAAACCTTACTTAAAACTTCTCGCCTTGCCACGTTGCCTTCCTTCCCAGACCAAAAGCTGGCGAGTGCACGGGAGGAGAACTCCAGTCGTTCTCCTGCTAAAGGCTGTTTTTCACTTAGGTGAAAAAGCATCTTTCTGTGAATGAGAGCATGAGATGGGGACCTTTGTGAAGGCTTTTGTTCTCTTTCTGCAAATACATTTCCAAAGATGCATTTTTAGCAGTAAGACAGTGTAGGGTCAGCTAGGCTTTGGGATAGGAGAACACGATTGGATAGGATTTTTGTTTAACACGGGCCTGTGGTTTCAGAATGCACTTGCATTTGCTCTGGCTTATCCTTAGATGCTTAAGAAAGGACCGTGCACCTGCAGAGGGGGCTCACCATCTCGCCCAGAAGAGGCCATCTCGTGGTGGGAAAGGGAATGATAAGAAACCCCTTCTCGCTGCATTTTGCAGCCTTGTAGCTGACTGGAGAAAGGATGGATTCAAAAAGAGTGCTTCCCCACTCGGGGATTATGCTTCTTTCAGGGGGGAAGTTGGGAAGGATTTGGGCTTAAGATAGACAAAACTGTTTCGACTGTGTTGCTTCTGTTGAAAGTAAGTCTAGTTTCTGTCCCCGCTTCTCTCCTCGCCCCTCTTGCCTCTCACGCCGCCTGCATTGCTTTCCTCTGACTAGGTCCCAGGCGATGGTATGTACTAACTGCACAGCAGTGCTTCCTTCCGCTGCACACATGCGTCTTCTTGACGGGAAGGGAAGAGGAGAAATAACTGCCGGACTGTTGCTTTCTTCTACCCAGGGGAAGTTTTATGGTAGAAAAAAGTGAATGCCACCTCTCCCCGCTTTCAGTGTTTTCACTGAGGGGTGGCCTGGCCTCTGCTCATACTGGGAGCTTGGAAGCTTGTTAAAGAGCGATGCTGAGTTTCTGATTTGGCTTGTCCACAGTTACCTCTTCTCCAGGTAACGGAAATTGTCCTTGGCAATCCCTGAGCGTTCAGCCCGAGCTGGGAAGGGCCTGTGGAGAGCACCTGTCTTCCAGTTGACACCAAGTGCCCCAAAGGCAGCCGCCCAAGTCTGTCCTAGGAAGCCCCATTGTTCATATTTTCTCCAGACTTTTTTTTCCTTCCAGTAAGAGTACTGGAAGAATCAGTGGTGCATTTCCCCCTCAAGGTGGTTAGACCACAAAAGGACTTCTGGTCCACGTGCCTTGTAGCTAAAGGTGCCTGAGAACCGAAAGCTCCGCACGTTTGGAAAACCCAGTGAGAGGGCTGCTGGCCCGGCCTGCCTGGCCAAGCAGACGTCCACAAGCCCACTCAGAGGAGGAGGAAGGCAGGTCAGGGCCAACCTCCCAGGCTAGGGTCAGGAGGTAAGACGACTTCTGCGCCCCTGGAGCAGGGGAGCAGGTTAAAGCCCTTGGGGGTGTGACAGCATAAGACACCCGCACAAAGAAGAGAAGAGCAGGGAGGAGATGGTGGAGGATGGAAAGATGGGTAATGCAGCACCATCGATTCCCAGGGCTTCCATAGGTTACGGGGCACCGGTGTGATGGGGGTGGGTGGGAGGTACTTACTATAGATGACCTGTGAGTACTCTTCGAATCCCCAACGGGGAACCTTTAGAAGAGTTAGCTGTCAGGGACCTTGCATTCTTATGGGGTTTGCTTCTTGTCCAGGACTCTTCTGGGCTCAGGGGCGTGGGGAGAAGCGCCCCCGAACCCAGGCAGCCGGGAGCCGGAGCCGGGGAGGATCTGCCCAGGCCGCGTCCAGGGCAGTAGGAGCAGAGGCCGCGGCGCCGGGGACGGGCTGGCCCTTGGGCTGCCATCGGGGGCAGCCGGGCGTTACTTCTCCTCTACTGTTCCCGCCGTGCATGCTCTGCGCGCCCTGCTCGCGGTGCCGGGACCGAGGCGGCGGGCTAACTGTCTCCTGATCTCTTCTCAGAACACGGCTCTAGATAAGGAGGGCCAGATCTTCGGCAGCAAGCTCGGCGCGGACGGCAGCCGGCCCGGCCTGGAGCCCGCTGCCCCGGGGCCCCCTGCCCCGGAGCCCTCTGCGTCCCCCGAGTCGCCCCCGCGCTCTCCTGCCGCCGCCGCCGCGGAGTGCGAGCGGGCGGGGACCTGGCGCCGCCACCGCGACTGACCGGCTGCCGCCGCCGCCCGCATCGCTGCCCGCACCGCGCATCGCATCGCCGGGGTGGAGAGCGCGCGCCTCCAGGGCCACCGCTTCCCGCGCGCTCCGCTCGGGTCCTGGAGGGGCCTGTGCGCGTCGCCTTCGGGGACAGGTCCTCGGAGTGGCTTCGTTTAAATTGTCTTCTCAGTTCAGTGGACATTTGACGGCGTCACCAGGAGAATGTGCAACTTTTATCTGACATTGAGCGCATTTTTATAGAAACACTTTGGATGCACCAAGCTCTTTCTCTTATTTAAGTAAACTCAGGAGGGCTCCCTTTTTCTTACAAGCAACTCAGAACTGCGTCTGTCCCTTTGTGGGTGCCCTTCCTCTGCTGACGGGGGTCGGGGGCTGACTTCCCGCGCAAGGCTCGGAGCCCGAGCGGACACGCTGGTCCCGGTACTCCGCCCAGCCTCGGGGGCTCGTCTAGGACGACACTGGCTCTGGACTTGTGCGCAGACCGCAGGGAAGCCCGTTTCTTCCCCCGAAGTTGTGTTTCCCTGACTCTTCCCACGACCGTATTAGAAAATGCTGACGACCTTGTCCTTGGGGCTTTTTAATGAGAGGTGTGGTGCACGCCGCGTCGCCGGGGCGCTTCCTTCTCCAGGTCCGGCTGCGGGCAGAGCAGGACCAACCAGCGACCCCAGGAGCCGCCGGAGCCTCCCTCCTCCATCTGCTTTTCATCTGCAGCGGCGGCAACAACCCCCAGGAAGCGCGGGGCACAGTCGGGACTGGGCGGGAAGGTGCCTGCAGACATCCTCTGTTACTAACCTTCTGGAAGGCTGCTGGCAGTTTTTCCTTTTTCCCACCACCCTGCTCTTTTTAATGATTGTATATAATCAGTGAATTTGTTTTACCTGCTCATCTTCTAAACGGGTGGGCCTGTAGTTCATTCTCATTGTTAGACTTTTGCCGCCTACAAGTGTATCCAATAAACTTTTCCTTCTTGAGAAATAGCCGTCAGGGTGGGTAGAGGTTCCTGCGTGGTGGTTTTGCAAAGAGTGTGCGGTCAAAGCAACACCTCCCCGGCCCAGGTTCTGGCTGGTGCCGGTGTTTGTTTTTGTCTCGGGGTCGCAACGGGGAAGAGAGGTGCTTGGGAAGAACACACGGAGGTGCACCTGGAAATGTGTTTGATTACAGGTGCAGAAACTCACAAAAGCTCAAAAACGAATAGAGATTATTAGTGTACAACAGAGGACTTCGATGGAACCAGAGACAGGAAGGTCAGGCTTTATAGGAAATGGGGAGCTGTTCTCGTCTGTCTGTGTCTGTCTCAGAGACTGTGCCATCTCCTGTCTCTGCTTCTTTCATTGCGTTTTGGCTCTTGGTTTCTGTTCCCTCATAACGTCTGCTTGCCTGGGCCCTGGCTTAGCCTGCAACTGCTTCTGTCCCCAGCTTCGCAAGGCTGTACAGCTCCACGGCTTGAAACCGTATCTTTCAGCTCTGGTTCTCTTCGTTCACATTGCTGTGTGATGATTTCTCTCTGGGCTGGTGCTGACCTGTGATCCAATCCAGAGGCAGGTGACAGGATGCAGATGGGCTTCCTGGGCACACAGCTCCAGTGGGTGCAGGCTTCAAGAGAGGGTAGTGATGGGCAGGTCCAGAGCATTCTGCCTGTCGCTCTTCTCACTGGTTAAAGAGCAAGCTTTTTCATAGCTTACAATAGAAAAATGTTTGTTAATGGCAGCGAAGAGCTAATGTCAAAGAAAGAGGAGAAAAATGAGGATAGTGAAAATGAAAATGGAAGAATGACGGAGCGAGGCCTTTAGTGTACTGATGGGAGCCTGAAACTCAACCCCATCTCTCAAACTGCAAGGTTCAAAGATGTTTGCTAAAGACTTAAGAAAATATATGGCCAGGGCAGTGCCAGTCACTGGCGACAGGAGCTGGAGCACCTTCTGTCCCGCACATGCTCCCACGTTCTGTGGCACCCTTGGGTGGCCTGGAGACAGGAGTAGGCTGAGCTGGGTGTGGCACCGTGGCCTAGCAGTGGCCAAGCAGTTCTTTAGTAATGAATCCCACAAACACCTAGAGTGTTAAGCGGTGGTAAAGGAACAAGCCCAGAAGTCAGGTGACATAACCCGGGTCATAGAACTGGCAGGAGACAGAGCCATGATGTGGTTTCAGATTCCACGGACATCAAACCTGGGCTCTTTTGAAGGCAGCCTGTTGTCCAGGGTAAATCAAGGCCTGGACATGAGTGGTCATCTAGATGAAGATCCTAACTAAAGGCTCCGACACCACAGCAAATTATTCATTCACCCACACATTTAGCAAACGTTACTGAGCTCTTATTCTGGTCTCAGGATTCAAATTAAATAGAGGTCCTTTATTGCTGGGTTCCTCCGCTCCCGCACTGAGAGAGAGGCATGTGCTTGGTTTATGTTCATCCCCTTATTCCAGCAGGGGAGCCATGTCTACAGAAGTTGACCTTTGAATAGAGCAAGGGAAGCCGTGACCTGCCGAAGCCATCGCGGGCTGCCTGCTGGGCCCAGCCAAGAGTCAGCGGGAGTCTGTCTCTCTTTCTTCAAAAAGGTTGCCGTGACGTGAAAGTACATGGAATATACAGATGGAAGCATCTGGCGTAACTCCCCCAGAATATCTGCATGAATAAGATTGTGAAACGTGAATCAGGAGATGGGGGACGGTTCAGAACAGATAAACCATATTGAAAGAAGAGTGCTGGGTAGTGATGCTGTCTTGGAGGAGGACTTTCAGGGCAGTTTGCCATCCCGTGGAAATACAATGTAAGCCACATAATTTAACATTTTCTGGTACCATGTTAAAAAAATCTAAAAAGGAACAGGTGAAATTATAGTATAGTTTATTTAACCCACTATATCTAAATACATCCCTTTAAAGTATTATTTCAACATGTGATCAATGTAAAAAAAAATCATTGGGATACTTTACCTTATTTCTTTGTCCTAAGTCTTTGAAACCTGGTGTGTATTGACATGTATGGTACATCTCAGGTTGGACCAGGCACATTTCAAGCGTTTAGTAGCCTCGTGTTGCTCCGCCTGCCAAGCTGGACAGTGCAGCTCTAAAGAAAGGCCACAGCACTCAGTTTCCTTGTTTCTGTTTAGTTTTGCATATGATGTGTACGACAATGCAGAAGGAACCCTTATCCACTGTTTTAAATGGGATGGACTGATTTAAGACGATCTCAGCAGGTTAGAGCACTGATCCAAACCTGAGATGTGAAATCAAAGCGCGAAGTCCTGTGATTCAGTGGCCAAGGCCTTGGCGTTCACTGCTTCACGGGAAAGATCTGGGAGGGGAGAAGTGCGAAGAGCATCACGTCATTAGGCGCCAACAGAACTGCTTAAACGTTAGCATAACCTTAAGCTGCATCCTGAAAAGTCCGTGCAGATCGTGGGCAGCGTGCGTCGAACCTCCCAGGTACGGCTCTGCGCTGGGGCCTCGGGGTGTGTGGTGCAGACGAAGCAACCATCGCCCGAAAGAAGGCAGCCAGGGTGGCGAGGGGTTTAAAGCCCTGGGAGCCAAGGACTGGTGGAGAAGCGGTCAGGTGTTGCTTAGGAAGACCCAGAGGCACCTCCGCCTGATGTGTGGCTTCACAGTGAACTGCTCTGTGGCAGGGGCTGCAGACCTCTTTTGGGCGCTCTGGGTGGTGGCCCGAGGTCAGTGGGTAGGAGGCATGAGGGTCAGGTGTGAACGCAGCGTCGCAGGAGCAGCCCGGTGACAGAATTCGCTGCTTTCTAAAGGAGCGATTGTCTGGTTCTGGGAAATGCCTAGGTGCTAAATAACAACAAAAGCTCCTAGTCTGTACAGAGTTACCTCACGCTGTCTTGTCTGAGCCGCACCACAGCCCTGAGAGAACAGCTAACATCCCTGTTCAGCAAATGAGGAAACTCAGATGGGTCTCGAGCTGACGGAGCCTGGACATGCCTCTCCCGGCCCCGGGGCAGGTGTCCTGGGAGCTGCTGTGCCCCTCCAGGTGGCCAGGGATGCTTTAGGGGTAGCGCCTGTGTCCTAAGGTGGAGGTGGGCTGGGCTGGGGAAGACACCTGACAAAGTGGTAGAAAATCGAGGCGGCTAAGAAGTTCCCAGGGCAGGGGTGTGTGAGTCCTGCTAGATGAAGGAAGGCAGTAGTCTCTCTGAGGGAGGCGGATGTGTGCAACTTTGGTTAGTCTTGGCCAATGGATTTTCAGGGGCTATTTTATGATAAAACCCGCAGCCTTGAACTCAGTGGGGGTGTGTTACCATCACTGAGCAGCTGAGCAGAAGAAAAAGGTATTTGGTACAGAGACTGAGCTGCTCGTGCCATACTCCTCACACAGGAGCCTCCTTCATTTGGGGCAGGGCTGGCAGCATGGCCTTTGGCGGTCAGGAGGGTTTCAGCCCGAGTCTGATGGTGTGAGGCTGGGCACCTGCCTGTGCTGGCACTAAGGTCAAGCCTGGGGAGTGTCTCTCAGCTGATCCAAGTCTGAAGCTGCAGCACAGCCAGCTGCTTCTGCCAGGCTCCCCCAGAATCTTGGTTTTGGCAAGGAAAAATATTCCTGAACTTGAGACAGGAAAATGATTCACTGCATGTTTCTGGCACGTGACTGCCGTGGAATTCAGAGGAACATTTGTAGGTCATCTGCTTCCCTTGCCTGCAGGTCAGACCACCCTGTTCTCTAGAAGGAACGATGTGAGGCCCTCTGGTTTGAGCAATCTGCATTTCTGGCTCAGAGAGGCAGGGCAGGGAGTGATGTGTCAGTGTCATTCATCGTAGCCTTGGGCTTTTATATGGTGATCATGTGATTTGGGGGACCCAGGTAATGCATCACGGACTCTACTTTTCATATCTATTGAAAAGAAAGATCCAAAAGATGTTTCTCCCACTCACCTGAGAGAAAATAGAAGAGGTAGGATTAAAAATTT